TATATATATATATATATATTATCAAAGAAAAATCACATAAGACGATTAATAACATGAGGTAATATATAGAAATAAGAAATGTAAGAAACTGATCATGAAAATGTTCTATAAGAAGCTGGCATTATGTGAAGGATTTACAACACCTACACTACTACATCTACATATATGAACAGAAAGGAGACCATCTGGCTCGCAAGCAGAGCATTGAAAAATGCACAAAGGCCCTCATCAAAATTGAAAATTCTGCACAGAAACACGTACCGAATCAAAATGTAAATAAATCCATCATAAGCATGTGAATTAAAGAAAAGTTGCAAAATGGCCCCCTCAGCTCTTTGTAGAATGTCACGTTAACCCCCGAGTTTATAAAAGTGCCGCCAGACTCCTTTAATATGGGTTAAAATAGTCCCCAACAAGGACTATTTTAGCCTTCATTAAAAAACCCGAGGACTAATTTAACATTTTTATAAACTTTAAGACTAAAATGTTGGGCATAAAGTGAGGGCGACATTACCGACTTGGCTCTTTTCTTGAGAGCCTTCAACGCTGCTTCGGCGAAAGCCTCGGCCGCTTCGGCATCAGCTTCGGCAGCCTCTGCATCCCTTGCCGCTTCTTCAGCTTCGGCAATGGCTTCCTCGGCCTCGGCGACAGCTTGAGCAGCAGCTACAGCTGCTTCTTCCGCAGTCATGTTTCTCATTCGTGCTAATTCAGCATCAATTTGAGGTTTTGAAAGTGCTTTTATATCCTTCTTGTTATCCACTCTGGAGGATTCCTTTTGTCTTCCCTCTGGAAGTAAGGCCTTGGATTTCGTTCTTCTATGTTCTGATTGCGCTGAAGTTTGAGCTATTCTGTATCTACGTTTCACCTAACAAAAGAATTAGGAATATTTATATACATACCATTCAATTTCTATGTATTTACATATTTAACGCCTAGACTTTAATTTTTTACATACATGAAAAGGAGTATTTCACGTTTTAAAAGTTAAAATGATGGTATTTTTTATGTGAAATGAAAGATTTCGGAGGTATAAATGCAAACAAGTAAAGTTTAAATGATAGATATGTAAATACATAAATTTAGCGTTATGTATGTAAATGCCCCAAAACATTAGATTTAAGATTAAAACTTAAAAAAAATTATTCTATTTTTTATTTAAAAGTTAAGCTCATCTTGATGTAATACAAGAAAGTTAATGCTTACTTTTTTCATATCATAAACTAAATATTTATGGATCTCTTAGCTTTTGAAAGTTAATGTTATTAAATTTCTTATAATCTCTTCTTTATAATTCTTAATGTTATGTTTATTTAATTTTTATCTATTTTTCATAATTTATATTAGAAAGATTTACATAATTTCTTATAATCTCTTCTTTATAATTCTTAATGTTATGTTTATTTAATTTTTATCTATTTTTCATAATTTATATTAGAAAGATTTACATGCATATATCTAACGCTTAAATTTTAATTTTTACTTGTATCATCTTGCATATGCATGAAAATGTGTATTTCACTTTCAAAAAGTTAAAATAATAGTATTTTAGATTTAATATGAAAGATTTGGATGGTATAAATTTAGAAAGCAAAGTTTGGGTGTTAGAAATATAAATACAAAAAAATTAAGTAGTTTGTATGTAAATGACTATTTATATTATAATGCCATGTCTGATGGATATTCAAGTTATATATTTTTAATTATAGAAGTGTTGTGTGTCCTTGTTGTGTCCTATCCGTGCCCCCATATCACAACTTCCATTTTATTGTAGCGAGTTTCAATAATGTCTAATTGTTTTGCATTAACTTCCTTTGAACTTGATCACCTGAGAATTACCTTTTCATGTAAATTGCAAGTCCAAGTGATAGCATATTTGTTTATTGAGTTATGGGATTTGGAAATTAATTAAAGTTTACATGAATAGATTTATGTAAATGAACTAATGGATAAAGCCAATCCAGATAGTTAAAAAATGGTTAAAGATAATGACCAATAAAGAGACAGAATGTAATGAAGCATAAATCAAATAATTCATAAAGATCTTAAATTTTATTACATTACCTTCGATAATTTCCCATTTGCAGTCAAGGCCTTGAGTTTGCCAGATAACAGTTTTTTCAAATTTGGCGGAGCAGAGTACTGATCCTGCATGGCTAAAGAGAAGATATGGAATCTTGCAGGAAAAAAACACATTCTTTAAACAATGCAAGGTATTCAAAACAAACAATATTCTCCCTAAACAACGAGGAAATCCATCCCAAATAAATAGCCGCAAAATACACACATCAGACATAAAATATGAACTACAAATAAGATGCAAGCATTTAAGAAAGTAAAACAACGTCCTCTGCTGCTTAAAGACCAAATTTAAAGCATTCCCCGGAGTTTAGTGGTTGTTCGGGATCATTTTTGCTTTTGCTTTTCTTTTTTTTTCTATTGTTTATTTATGTTTTGATTTGACATAAAAGCATATGGTAGTTGTTATTAAAAACACTCAAAAAAATTTTAGGTGCACGGCTGTTTTTTAAAAATAAGGTTGTTTGTTTTTAGAAACAACAAATAAAAACGATAAAAATTATACTAACCAAACGTATTTTTAAAAATAAGAGTACAATTGAAAAGAAAACAGAAACAAAAATTATGCCAAATGAACCCCTTATGGAAGGCACTCCCCACATTATCAAGAGCATGGAGAACCCACTTTCAAAGTAACTCATCCATAACTGAGAGTGTGGCAAAGAATTATATCATAAAGCAAAGCCCAATATGACATTACCAAATGAAGCCAATTATGGCTTTGATTCATGAAAAATATGTTATGTAACAATACTGAAACAAAAAGTAAAATCCAGAATCCACTGAAAAAAAAAAACTACACTTCTAAATTTTTAACTTTATTCATCTTCCGAAAAAATAATCCAAACTTACCTTTTTGAATAAATTTATTATGCAGTTCATGATTATATTAATTTGCTTCCAACAAAAAGTAAAATGCAGAATCCACTGAAAAAAAAAAAAAAACTACCCTTCTAAATTTGTAACTTTATTCATCTTCCGCAAAAATAATCCAAACTTACCTTTCTGAATAATTTTATTATGCAGTTCATGATTATATTAATTTGCTTCTAATGAATGCACTAATTCCACCATCATAATTAAACCTCTCGATCTTGCTAAATCACCACCTGCGCCTCAAAACCTTGTGAGAAGTCTCTCCTACAGTGCTTATTGATTGGTCAAGACAATACTGATATGAGCATTTACATGCAAGCGACACAATTCATATGTATTTACATATTTAAAACCTAAACATTCATATTTACATGCATACGACTCCAGTGAAATACGCCTTTTTATGCATAAGTTTATAACGCCAAAGAATTATAAGTGTAAATATCAAACTTTGGATGTTACATATGCAAATATATAGGAATTGTGTGGTATGAATGTAAATTTCCCTGCTAAATAAATAATATAAAATATCTACACTCTGATGCTGTAAATATAGTTATTTATAGCACCCCAGCTGGCCAAAAAACATAATTAAAAATTTGTGAGACAATAGAAAACATGAATTCATACCTCTATGTACATGGTGATGGCAGTCTTGTTTGACCCACCGGGCTCCTTCAAATTAGTTATCGCTTCAAATATAAGACTGTCTATCCTACATGCATTGACAAGGACCAAGTTGGAACTTAAAAAAACAGATGAAATCAACAGAAAATTGATTTATTATGAACATAGCTTCAGGCAATGGTGGCATTCATACAAATTTCTTCATATAGTCGAAACTAAGCTGCATTATAAGACTTTGATTGAAAGTGAAAGGAAATGAAAAAACTTCTTTTTAATTTTTTTACACTAATTTTATCTGACCATCTAATGGACAAATTTTCCATCTACCTTTCTTTGCAATGGTAAAACCCCAAAAATCTTAATTAATTTAACTTTCAATAAATATCATTCTGACCACCTCTCCGATATAATCAATCCTTAGTCTATTTGTTGTTTTTGCCACACATTCATCTTAACAGTCTCATTTCCTTCAAACGCAACAAAAACAAGAATGATTTTTTTTACTACCCAATAATCAGGTCCACATAACATAGTCAGCATAATTGAAATTGTAATAGCCCCCAAAACATTGCTATTTACAAATCTATCATCCACTTTCATCCATTTTTCAAATTCTCACTAAGAGAATCACAATTCATGAAAAAACTGCAACCTATATTTTTCATTTTATCAAATTCTCAATGGATTGATCGTAGCACGTGTAAATACATCGGTTGGGTTGTTAAAAAATTTAACATGGGTGCTTGATTCTGTAAATAGTGAAGTTTCAGGTGCTATGCATGTAATTATCCCCACATAATATCATGGAAAGAGTTGAAAATTTTAAACTTCCTTCAAATAAAATATACAAAAACAAAGGTAAAAGCCAGTAGCTTCTAAAAGCTGCAAAATGGATGTCTTTAGACAATGGGAAAAATAAAAAAAGTGATGAAATAAAAATGTTTTCCATTTCTTTTATATAAAGAAAGAGTCAAAGACAAAACAAGCTGCTCAACAAACTAAAGTACTAACTTTGATACCAACTTTCTCGGTGCCGTGAGCAGAGGAAGAGGGCTTGCTTGTGCCAAAGGTTTACCATCAACAATCTCATCATCATGATCATCAACTATACTTAGTGCCAAAGGGCCCTCTTCTTGTTTAGAAATCGGTTGGCTCTTCTTCAAGGCCATCCGGGCCTTCTCTCTAGAACCCCATCCATGTGCTGTTACACTCATGTTTCGCCATTTATCCTATGAATTGGGGGAAAATAAGTTTGATCATAAATGATAATTACAATGATGGTACGATTTATCAATTAAAATCCAAATGACACACGATTCTTATGTATATACATATCTCACACCTAAGCTTTCAGATTTACATACATATCATTTTGGTACTTTAAATCTATGCATCAAAAATGTACATTTCAGTTTTAGTGCTATTTTTTATGTGATATAAAATATTTGAGTGTTATGTGTGTAAATATGAAATTTTAGGTATGAGATATGTAAATGAGATATGTAAAGATATGTAAATACATAAGAATTTGTGCTATGTAAATGTCCCTAATTGCTTTTAGCTGTATTTAGACAGAAACATGAAATCCCTGATAACTAAGCCACAATTGGAGACAAAACATAAGCAAGAAATATTAATTAATGTTAAATGGAGCCTTATCAAGAAGCAAAACAATTAGAAAAACATAAGTCTTAGATTAGTACCTTCAGGTCAACATTTGATCGCAGGGACAAAACACTACTAAACTCTGGATCTTTTAATATTGTGCGCCATTTCCCAGCTCCATGCTTAACAACTCCAGCTTTGAGAGCTGATTCCTCCTCTGATGTCCATTTCTGTTTTGGAGCACCCATTGACAATAACACAACAACCCTCCCTAAGAAGATTGAATTTGTGCACCTTGTGGCCTATGTAGAAATGCTTGTCAGCGTAAGAATTTCTAAGGACAATTTATCACAAGAAAAAAAATAGCTCTAAAAAAAAGCGTATAAAGAAAAATTTAAAAAAAAAAACATCGCCACCATACTAAACCCCACTTCTTTGTCCTAAGAGAAAAATTTAAAGAAAAGAACACCGCCACCATACTAAACCCCACTTCTTTGTCCTAAGAATGAATATTTCAGAATTTTTATAGTAACATTAATAAGAAGCAGAGGAGCTCAGTTAACTTATAGTGCCAGTTTTAGCTACAACATTTAGCTAAGATTTATCAAGGATTTAAGTTGAATCTTAAAAAATAACCTTTTAAGCTGCATGAATCATACTACCATCTTAAATATAACTTTTCACATGTTTTAGTCTAAATTTTAAATTTGGTAAATCCTAAGGAAAGTAGGCTTTAAGAGATTTACAAAACTTCTCATCATTGAGGCTCTTCTTCTCCTTTAATTAAATCATAAATTTTGAAAATATTTGTCAAACAATTTACTAAGTTTTAATTAAATTTAACATCTAGCATGCCAAGTTATTTTCAAAATTTAACAGATTGAGGATTTATTAAATATAAAATTACTAGATTTACTAAATCCTACTAATACCCAAACAGTTCCGTAGCACTATGGAGAAGTAGTGGCCTAAGGCAACCTACAACATCGTTGAAAATCAAAATTACATGCACTGACAAGTTAACAAGTAATGCACTTTAAAATAGCAAATTACATGTCACCGAAATTAAAGCTCTTATAATCCAATAAAAAACCATCAAAATAGACATTTTTTTACTTTAGAAGCACCTTCCAATTCACTAGCTTAAGATAATTTTACATAGGGACTATTTGGTAGTAAGATTTAAGTTAAGGACAAAAAAGTGGTAGCAAGATTTAAGTTAAAGACAAAAATTTTTAGCCACATCAATTCTACTTGTTCTTGAATCCAGATGTCCTCCTATTTTAGGATAAATCTTAGTACATCTTGAGAGAATTATAATAACAAAGATTCATACCACTTCTCCTCACAACACATTTGAAAATGTGTCAAAATTTCATTAGTATAAAACCGTATTTAACATATATCATGCCGAACAATTTTTATGAATCAACGCCTACAAGATTTATTAAATATGGATTTATATGATTTATGAAATCCTACTTGTACCCAAACAGCCCCTTAGCATTAACATGACGTATACGGCATAGGATAACATACAGCTTTATTAAAGATTAAAATTGCAAGCAAAGACAAGCTAGCAAGCAATGCACTTAAATACAACAAGCAAAAGTTCATGCCACTAAATTTAAAGAATTGATAGCTTGATAACTTACTTCAACAAATGACAAGTTTGATTCTAAAAACACCTTCAATTTTATTAACTTAAGAATGGTTTACATGAGGCTAGTTTGGGATCAATTTTATCTTTTGTTTTTGTTTATGCTTTTCTTTTGTTTTTAGAAACATGTTTGTTTAGTGGGTTTTTAACATATATTTTTTTAAATGTTTTTAAAAACACTCAATTAATATTCAGGTATTTTCAGTATTTTTAAGGACGCCATACATCTATCAAATAGCCAAACATGTTTTGTTTCAAATCAAAACATTAAAAAAAACAAAATAAAAATGAAAAAGAAAATAGAAAATAACAAAAGTGATCCCAAGGCCCCTTAGGTGTTGTTTTCTTGCAAAATTTACCTAGGATTTAGGCTAAACCTTACAAACTAGTTTGTTAAGCTAAGTCCTACTATTTTCTTAAATCTCGCTTTACTCACCTCTTAGGCTAAATCCTAATTTAGTAAATCCAAAAGGAAGTATAACTTAAGAGATTTATAAAACTTCTCCTCCTTATGCACATTTTCTTCCTTTTCTTAAATTCTAAAACATCAAAATATATACTAAAAGATTTCCTAGGGTTTAAATAAATCCAACATCTATCACATCAAAACAGCTTTCAATTTAACGCCTCTAGGATTTACTAAATCCGACTATAATTAAATCCTAATATTCAACTTTCAAGATTTAACAGCCCCCTAGTCTTATGGAAGCTTAAATTTGCCAGCAGCGACAAGCTAGCAAGTAATGCACTTCAAAACAACAAACAACAATCCATTCCACAAAATTTAAAGCTCCAATATTTTGATAACTCATTGCGTGAAAAGCCATGTTGATTCTAAAAGCAATTTCCAATTGATTAGCTTAAGAACAATTATAAAATATACAATACAAAAATGCAATACTCTTCGAACCAAATAATTCACATCAGAGAGCATAAATCACTAATAAAAGCGATTAATAAACAAAATAAACTGCTCAAAATCCGAATACCGAGAAAACAAAAGAAGATCAGGAAGTAAACTCGCATTATTATTTTGAAAAATTTTAGCACCCAAGCGAGCAAATCTAATAGCGTATAGCACGAACCGGTAGCAAATAATAAAAAATCAGCATCCATATGGCACAAAAACATCATTGTAGAAAGAGCTTCATGACAACAGGAAGAAAAACTAACTAACTAAATCACAGCAAAGCAAACCTAATGAAAGGAAAATAAGAGAAGATCGTGCAGGAAAACTCAAAATATATAGACAACCAGAGGGGGAAACGGAGCTAGAAATCTGAGTTCGAGAGTGAGAATTAAACCTCAGGTGAGTATAAACATCGATCCGAGTTCCATAACACGATAATTAGCTAGAAAAGGGAGATGGAAGAGATCGATCGGTTCGGTGGCTGCCGTTGCATGTCCTGAGGCGTAGTTAGGGTTTTCGATCGGCAATCAACACCGTCGCAAAAAAGCCGAGATTATCTTAGCTGTATTTTTTTTTTTTTTAACCACTCAATCCTATTTATTAGCATATGTAACAAAGAAACTAAACCTACAATGCACGAATATTAAAGTGTTCATTTTTCAAATATTTGGGTGATTGAAATATATAAAAAAAAATGTATGTGTTAGATATTTAAATACATAGAAATTAGGTGGAATACACTTTACAAGCATAATACCTTATCAAGGTCGGAACTGGAATTTAAAGTAAGGCGAGGCGTGAAATTAAAAATAAATTAAAATTTTAAATTTTATTTAAAAAAATAAAAAAATGAAAATAATTTCTGATAAAATTTATAAAATAAAAAAATATTGCTTTTAATATAGCATTTATAAATAGGGGTGTAAACGAGCCGAATCGTTTATATTTCGAGCTTAAAAAATGTGTTTGTGTTCGTGTTCGGCTCATTTGCTTAACGAGCTGAACACGAGTTGTTCACAAACAAAGAGTTCTTTTAACAACCCTAATCATATAGTCATAAGACAATAAGGGTTTGAGCAATATTTAAAAATTATTATTTATATTAAAACATCATTTGAATCTAATTTAATAATTTTTATTCTATTTTCTTAATCAATATTTTAATTGGTTATAAATCTTTGTAGCCTTGTAGTCAATTAGATTTTCTTAAAATACTTCTTAATATATATATAAACTTGATGAGTAGTATTTCGAGCCAAAACGAGCCGAACATGATAACGAGCTGAACACGAGCTGTTCGCGAACAACATACCGTTTTGACAGCCCTATTTATAAATAAACAACTTGAATTGTGCTTGATGCTTCTTCATGACATAAATCATCATTCATTTATTCTATATTAAAACTCACTGCAATATCATTTTAATTATATGTTATCAATGAACTCGCAGGAAAATCATCTTTCAGTTTTATTTCGTCACATTATCGTGACAATTTTCATATCTAAAAATGTGTCTTTTGGTTGTTGTTGTCTAAACATGCAATGTTAAAATCAATACAATCAAATGATCAATAAAATGATATATGATTAATTAAATAGTCTTTGCCTACAATTGGCGTATATCAGAAGTGGTTGAGAGATTATGATGATCTTCAATTTTAATACGTTCAATTTGATTGTTTATGTGTAGCTTTTATGTATATATGGGAGTTGAAAAACATGATCAAATTTGAATGATCAATATTCATTATGAGGATCCAATGCAAAAATGAGAAATGCAATATGTTTTTTTTTTGTTACTCTCCCACAATTGTGTGCCTAAAGTGCATGAAAATATCAAATTTGTAATGATGCTCTATTGTAAGTATGTTTTGTTATGATAAATGTGTTCCAAGCTCCATAGCAAGGAGTAATCATTTCTAATATATATATATATATATATATATATATATA